CACGCGTCAGTGACTCTTGGAGGGGCGAAGACTTCTCCGAACGCACAGGTTCGAGGTTGTATGTATGAACTGACACAACACATGACCATGCTGCAAGACATTCCTGCCATGAGAGAGATAGTTATTCACTGTAACACAACCTAAACGTGTCTCCACAGTAGAGATGCTTTTAACTTTCGCGATTGTGTTGTTCAGGCCTAAATCACGCTGCGTAAAATTCAGCTTTTTTTTGTAAACTATTTTTTCTTAGTTGCAAACAAGGAAACAGTATTCCCGTGCAAAACAAATCTTATGCCCAACATAAACTTTTGTCCTTGAACCCAATCATGTTCACCATACCCTTGGGCGACATGTTTAAATTTAGTTTCATTGCAGTGCAGTGTAATTTCCTCTAATAATCTGCGCCCACAAATGTGAAGCATCAGCATCCCATAGAAAAATATTCTATCTATTCTAGTAACTGGAATGCTTTTCGGGATACTTTCTTCGTCATTTTGCAAAATTACCCGTGTAGATACTGTCACGTCAAACCACATCTACCTATGTATCTGCATGTTAGCATAACACCTCACGAATTTCGATATTCGTATTTTTAGTACGGTCCTGACTATCTATTTTGAGCCTTGCATTTACGCTTTATTTTGAAGCTTCTTTTAGCTGAGGAGCAGTTGAATAATATTCACATTGAGATATTCACTTTGAGCATAGGAGCTGCGAAAAAAAGAGACGTTTGAAAAAGAAAAAAAAAACTAGGGAGCCTAATTTGTCATAACATAGGACAAGTACTTTAAAGAACTGAACTTCTACCTTTGTCTAGGGCATGTTAAACTCATTTGTGAAAAAAAAAACTTCTGTTACAACTGTATTTTATTATAAAGTAGCCCTTTTGGAATACTCAAAATCAACAAATATTGTAAAGTCAGTACCTACAATGGCTTACGCACCACATGTAAAATAAGACTGAGCATACAATTGAAGCCTTGTACATTCACATGTCCTGCCTTTTACCGTATACATTTCGTCAACACGAAATCGTTAGCGCATACATTTCGTCAACACGATGTGTACATGCAAAAATTTTGTATTTACAGAGTGTCTGAACAGCCCAATTAAAGCATTTACACTGTGTTTGTGTGCGACTGCATGGCAAACCTGAGGAGCAGTTTGCAAAACAACAAATATAGGGTGCTTTCGATGCCTTCATTTTTTATGTCCTAAAACTATTCGGTGCAGTATGAGTGTGCATTGATAAGATTGAACACTTGAAAAACTCAACATAAGAATGAGAAAGACCGCTGCCATTGCATGCGTAATGCAACGAGATTATGATTAGTGGTGGCTTTTTCTTCTTTTGTGTTGCGAAATGTCAATCAAATTGTGCAATAGATTTGTTGATATCAATCAGAACCCAATTACGTGGCAACGCATTGCCACTGCAAGAGCTTTCAATCCATCCAGAAGAGCACTCATAGACACGCACGAATGTTAACCTGACGTAAAAGTTGAAGACATGTAATAAAGTTTTTTCACCCGCTAGACAGTTTTCAGAGCGGAACTGCGCTATGTTATCTTTGAATGTCTACGACACAGTAATCTCACCATAAGAAAATAATTGTAGTCGAAGCTTTCCTGTCGTGAAGCATAGAAGAGATACTGCAGGGGTTGATGCGTAAGATATACTGCAAACACAAGCTTGCTGAGTGGTGCAAATATACTACAGGAGAGAAACTTTGTCACCGGGCCTGAAATAAAAATCATGGAATATGAGCATGTTTACAAGCTACAGGAACAAGACGTGTTAAACTCAGATGTTGCTGTGGAATATTCTTCTCGATGTATGATTAGTTATAATGATGTCGTAGTTGGCTACAGGCGCATTGGTTTGCGAGAAATTAGAAATGAATAGGGTCAGTGGGATTCAACTCAAATGCACTTAGAAAAAATGACATACCACAGGGAACCGCTTTATACATCGAACATTTAAAGTTATGATGCCTTGACGATCTTGAAAATGTATCGCACTACTTGAGATTGCAGTGGTACAATTGCTATATAGTGTTGGGCTGCTGACGTGTAAGTTTCTGCTTTGATACTGATTGCAACGATTGCATTTCATAGCAATCACTGTTAGAGTTTAACGTTCCAGATACCTCATATGATAAGATTATGGCAGACGCCGTAGTGAAGGGCTCTAGAACTTTTGATTACCGGCGTTTTTTTTAACGGGACCTAGGACTAAACAAGCAGGCTTCATGCATTTTCGCCTCCATCGAAAATGCCACCGCGCCCCGCCGCGGTGGTCTAGTGGCTAAGGTACTCGGCTGCTGACCCGCAGGGCGCGGGTTCGTATCCCGGCTGCGGCGGCTGCATTTCCGATGGAGGCGGAAATGTTGTAGGCCCGTGTGCTCAGATTTGGGTGCACGTTAAAGAACCCCAGGTGGTCTAAATTTCCGGAGCCCTCCACTACGGCGTCTCTCATAATCATATAGTGGTTTTGGGACGTTAAACCCCACATATCAATCAATCAAAATGCCACCGCCAACTGCGGGATTCATTGCCACGACCGGTGCGTCAGCAGCCTAGTGCCTTACCCACTAGACCACCTTGGTGGTGACGGTTGCATGTTGATGGCGGCGAAAAGCTTCAGTCCTCCGCACTTTGATTAGAGGTACGCAACCATGTCTCGTGTGAATGAAATGTTCTGTGTCCTCCACTAAGGCACACTTCAGAAACGCATCGTGGTTCAGTGAAGTATTGCTACAAACGATCAAACGATCAGCGTTTGTTACACTCCAAAGCTCGCATGAGCAGTGTTTTCTTCGTATATGAACAAATAATCAGTAAACAGTGATTTTCGTTGGCTGACGTTTCGGCAACACATTCCAAGCACAATGTGGAGTTTGTGCCATGGTCAAACACACTCTACGCTTTAAAACACGTTTTTATATTTACATCGTCCTGCCACAGCGTTCTTGGTAAAGTGCAGTAATGCATGAAGACCGTGACATCCACAACCAGTTTCCTCAACCTGTTGCTTCTATGCGCGGGTCGCATTTGTGCGTACTAAGAGAAGTGAACTTTGCAAAGCCTTTGGGGTAGGGCCACCCTGGTTGCGACCTTATTCTAGCATTCGGTGTGCCTCATACAATTCATTAATAAAAATTGCTCTGCGAAAATTAGCGGCTTTCCCTTGCTTCACTCCGTGTTCCTCACTTATGATCGCCTTGCGAAAAATCGTGACCAATGAACCAACGTTGCCGATCAGCGTGCTTCAAAATGCGCTCGTTGACAAGCGCAGTCGGAGTTGAGGATTCACGATCCCGAAGCAAAACGAGCACAAGGAAGAGCCGATCTTTACCTGAGACAAGGAAGAGCCAATCTTTACCTTTACTTGAGAGCCAATCTTTACGAAGCCGAAGCAGCAGGGGCTAGTCGGGAAGCGCCCCCGGAGCCTGCGATCTAGCATGCCGATCTACCATGCTGAAGTGCCGGGAAGCTGAACGAGCACGGATTCGTCGACAAGCACACCGAGGTTGAGGATCCACTATGCTGAAGCAAAACTAGCGCAAAGAGCAGCCGATCTGGAGCTGAGGTCCGCTAAGCGGAATCGGCTTGTGCTCGTCGACAAATGCACTCAGATTGAGGATCCACGGTGCCGAAGCAAAACAAGCGCAAAAAGGAGCTGAGGTCCAGTGAAGGTCCTTAGCTGAGGGCCAGCGATGCCGAAGCAGCACGGGCTCGTTGAGATGCGCACTTGAAGCAGAGAATCCCCGATGCCGCAAAAAAAACAAAAAAATTCGAGCACGAAACCATTTTGATTGAAGTCCCGCGAAGCCGGAGCAGCACAGCCTCGTCGACAAGCAGACCCGGAGCTGAGGATCCATAATGCTGAAGCAAAACCAGCACAAAAAGGAGCCGATCTGAATTGAGGTTTTGCGAGGCCGAAGCAGCGTGGGTTCATCGACAAGAGCACCCTGAGCTGAGCATCTACGATGCCGAAGCAAAGCAAGCACAAAAAAAGCCTATGGCAAGCTGAAAACCCATAAAACCGGAGCAGCAGGGGCTCGTCGACAAGCAGAACTAAAGCTTAGCGCCCGGGAAGCCGAAGGAAAGCGGGCACAAGGCCGATGTACTGAATAGAAAACGTTGGCCTGTGCTTAAAATCACATATGACCACAAAATTGGGACACCTCCCCGAGTTGTGTCTGTAAAATAAAAGAGATCCTCAGCAAATGCCATCATCGGCTCTGTATGAATAATAAATCACTCTTAAAAACAGTATCACACACTGTCAGTGTGTTTTTGAGTCTTCAAGCAGTCGTCGAACGTTAAAAACGCACAGATGATTCACAGTTTACCATATTTACTTTCTCAGCTTCGGCCACTCATCAGTATTCAGTGACTGGATATTGCGGAAATTTTGGGGTGCCTTTCTTGGCTGTGAACTAAATAACTGATTCCTCTTGTTCAGCTTCTCACTCGAAACTTCACCTAATTATTACAATGTGATAACGTACTTTGCCCTGAAGACCACCTATTTATTGTTCTACTTACCACCACATCCCGCCATGGACGAGTACACAATCCAAGCCAACCCAAGGCACCACACAGTTGGCGCAGAAGCATTGAAAGCTCCACGCAAGGGACTTTCCAAAGGGGGATTCATAATCCTTAGGCCGAAAATGGCGAACAGTAGACAGATAATGCAGCACAACCAGCCCAAGCGACCACTGCACTGGAAAGAAAAAAAAGTGACACGAAAGTTTGTGACATGAAATTGGTGTAATGCTGCATCTCAAAGTTCTTCGAAATAAAACAGCCATTTCTTCAATCATTGGCATCTAGAGCTTTCTTATATAAGAATGCCTTGTAACGCCTGACTACGAGGCTGTTCTATGAAATCAGTATAAAAATGTACGATAGACGTGCAAACACAGGGACAAAAAAATGGGTCTGGCCAACATAAATGTCCATTTGCAATCCTTACTTTTTGGTTTTAAGCACGTTTCCATGTCTACCTGATAATTCTAGCTGTTGTTTGTAAGATGCCCTACAAAACATTTCATGAACTTGTCATTTTAAATACTTCAAGAAAAACCAGACTGCTAGTGAGTACCGCAGACCAGACAGCAAGTAGTTGTGTGCTATAGTTAAAATAGGGTAAAATTGTCGGTTTCAAACGGTGAAACTTCGAGTTAGAAAAAAATAAACATTACAGACTGCTCATTAACAAAACTAATTGAAAAAACGGCAATTCTTAAAGCTATAGTGAATTGTTTGTGTATGCAGTTCAACCTATAGGAAGTGATTGGTCGCCGTTTTACAAGTCCCCTGAAAAAAAAAAATGATGCAGCTTTAAGATAAATTAAAGCGATTCATGGATTTTTGTTCGTTCCACAAGGCACGCACCACTGATAAAAATCACGGGCTGTGGATCATTCAGAAGAGCGCTTGAATATACAGAACTAAGAAACGTCGGGCGGTGCTACCAGCGCACTGACATCCCCGCCACTGACGTAAATGTCGCCGATTGCACAGGCACTCCACCAGCGTGTCGGCTACCTTCGAGCCTTTCCGATCGTCACGTCGTGTTCTGTGGTCTCGTCGTCTTACAACGTCACAACATCCCTCAAGGTTGCACTGCGCAACAACTCTATTTGCTCGGACGCTTTTTGTATCAGCAGCCCATGCAGACAGCGCGCAAGCTGCGCGCAATGTCACGGCTTGTACATTGTGATTCCACGCCTATTATAGACACCGAAGACTCATTTAGGCCATCGCTACTGCAGATATGGCACCGCTTGCTGGGCAATAACTCGGCTGCCAGCTAGAGGAGTCCCAAAACTGCAATGAATAAAGCAGGACTAATTGCCATTGACCGGCTGCTTTGCACTGAGTGGCAATCAACGAAATTGTCATGCTATAAAAGCATTGAAACACACTGGACAAGAACAATATTTCTTTAAGCATTGCTAAGTATACTCACTTATTGGTTTTGTCTTCTGCTCGAGCGCCGTACAATTTTTCGTAATTTCAATGTATGGGAGTGTACTAATACAAAAGTTGAGGATAAATAGAAATAATAAATAGGGCAAAGCAGTCAGCGCACAAGAAAAACGCTTATAGTGCTGGTTACTTGCCGTTCCTTGCCGGCCACCATCAACCACGACAACGCCGCATAAAGAATACAGCATAGAAACAAAATGAAGCCGAAGTAAATGGATATCGAGTACCCATGAATGTGCAATTTTCAATTTTCTTGCGGTGAACACGTGTTAGTGTGATCGTCATTATATAAAAAATCACAGCACATCCACGGAGTGAATGCTGACGAGCAGGGTGAAGCATCCGTCAGTCCATCCGTGCCTCCATCCATCTGTTCGTTCTTGCTTCCGCGAATCTATGTGTCCGTCCGTCCGTACGTTTGTGCGTTTTGCATGCATTCGTTCATGCATGCAAAACGCACAACCCACGGACGGATGGGTTCATGCAACCCATCCGTCCATCCATGCGTCCTCCGTGTGTCCACCCGTCCATCCGTGCGTGTATGCGTCCATGCATCCGTTCGTCCACTTGTGCGTTCATCTGTCCGTACATTCGTGCGTTCGTCTGTGCGTCCATCCGTACATCGTGCGTCTGCTCATCTGTGCATCTGTCTGTCTGTCCGTGCATCCATCTGTTCATCCGTCCGTTCATTTAGTGACCACTCCAAGTACCGCCATCTCGCATCTTTTTATCACATATTGATCAAATAGGATTACCGCCACCCAGCGGACACACGACCCACAGCATAAGGAGCTTCGCCCATTAAAAATGCAGCCCGCATCTTACAACGGGGCCCCGCCGCAGTGGTCTAGTGGCTAAGGTACTCGGCTGCTGACCCGCAGGTCACGGGATCAAATGCCGACTGTGGTGGCGTCACTTTCGATGGAGGCGGAAATGTTGTAGGCCCGTGTGCTCAGATTTGGTGCACGTTAAAGAACCCCTGGTGGTCAAATTTCCGGAGCCCTTCACTAATGCATCTCCCATAATCATGTGGTGGTTTTGGGACGTTAAACCCTACATAACAATCAATCAATCATCTTACTTTGGGGGTGGGGGGGCTATAGAAAGAAAATAAAACATTCTTGGTAATAATAAGTCGCTATAGTGATCGGGCCTCTTTGTCCGGAAGTCCATTGGTTCTTGCCGCCGTACGGGTTCGGTCAAGCAGGGCCTGTTGCTGCACTGGGTCAGAGCTGGACAAGGTCCCCTCCTACACGACTAATGCAGAATTATGATTGTGTGATATACAGGAATTATTTTGGCACTCAGATTCGAGTAAGTGCGTCGCAGAGTGGTGGGGCTATCGCGTGAGTGTTCCGTTTGGGATTGTTACTGTTCTTTTGTCTTTTATAATTCTTATTCATTGAATGAAGGAAAAGCATTGCCTTCAATGAGTGATAGGACGCTATTGTGCGGTCCAGTGCCTGCATATACAGGGTGGCCAGTGAACGATTGTGCAACTCAAGATGTCGATTTTTACTGTAGACGCCGCCTGCCTCGGCCTTGCGAGCCGAGAGAGGAGAGGGGAGCAATCAGTTGGCACGAGACGCAAGCATGTGGCAGGATATGCGTGGCGCATTCGCAGTGGGGGTGTAGATATTTCCGCCGACGCACGACGTATCACATCGAGGGATTTAGAAATGCTCCGCATTTAAAAATACAGAAGCCACAAGACAATACAGTGCGTCGCAAGCTATCGCAGAAATCGTGTTCCACGCTCTGTAAATCGGCAGGATGATTTCTGCAATTTTAGTTCGAAAATATCAACCTAAAAACCGTTAAAAATTTACCATACAATAGGCTCACATTCGGCAACTGCCTGGTGTATATTACCTGCACAATGACAAAGACCTTTTACCCAATCGCTCTTGCATAAAGAATAAAACTCGTCCTCAGCTGCTTTGGCAATGTGCAACGGTTTCCACTTAAAAAGGCTTTTTTTTTACTTGACTAGTTGCACGGCAATAATTCACTTTTGCATTCGCGGATTCTCCCAAGCTTTAGACTAGAAGCTGTACAGCCTCACGCCCAGTTAACCTTCGTGACTGTGGCAGTCGTTGACAGAGCAGTACTTGCGCTCAATTTACATTTTTACATGGAGGCGACCAAACGGTTCTGATGATGCCATCGGAGCTTGAATAACAGGAGCGGGTACAAATTTTTCTATTGTGAAGGACAAATGCTCGAAAAATAAACGCTAGAACCATGCTAGATATGTGCAGCGAAAACTAGCCTACGCGCGCAAGCTCCTTCAATCCTATTGCTTGGCCCGCCCGATGGTGTGACGGGTTCTCAAAACGGCAATGCGGGGTGCTTATGGCCTCCTCGCATACACGAGTTTCCTTATTTGACAAATTAAAACAAGACTTCGCATGTCGTGGCACAAAAACCTTACTCTCGGTGTCTCACATGAGAGAATGAGCGCGCTCGCATAGGCAAGGCTTTGTGTTGGTCGAAATTAAGGGGCAGTTAGCCTGTGTCGGATTCTACAAATACTGTGCTTATACTGAGTTACCCTGATGTTTCTTGCGATGATGCGCAAAATTCAAGGTATCCTCAGAGATAAATTGCTGCATACCGATACATTACGATCACTGCAACATACCAAAAGTGTTTTACTGCCATGCACAATGATCAATGTACATTCTATCTACCAATTACGAGCAGCAAGCACTCAACCTATAAACAGACAGCCATCCCCTCTGCATTAGGGTAAGAGCATTGCGAAGAAAGCTCAAATTTCGGTAAGAATATAACAGCGGTGTTGTGCTGTCACATTTTATTTAGGAGCATTAAATTTTTATCGTGTTATGACGTCACCTGAGCGGAAGTAAATGTTTAAACGACCTAAAGACTTTGTTGCTGCAGTACACTGAATTCCATTTTTCGGCGGATATCCCCAAAGGATGGTAATTCAAATAAGAGGAATCCCCAGAACGAAAGAGAGAGAAATTGGTGTTTTAGTTATATTTTGTTGCTAATCTTTGGCGCTATTCATTATCATTTGGTCTAATGAAATTGACGAATGAATATTCAGATGACTATGTAGCTACAGTCGAAGCAATATTATTACTACCTATTTATGTACTATGGTGACCGACTTATTGTCTTTATCTAGATTAACCAGGCTAGAGTGCACAAAACCAATCGTTTCTATTTTCATTCTTTATGAAAAATTTACACCTAAACGAACTGCATTACGTAGTTTGAAATAAGAATAGGTGGACGTATTAAAGAAAAAAAGTCACAAGAAAGGTACAATGCAAGCTATACTTGGAAATCTCAAAACTAGTTTAGACATATACTGTTACACAAGAGATTATCCCACTTTAATAAAGTGGCTGTTGAATCTTTATCGCCATTCAGTATGCAACGACTTCGCCTCCGATGAAAGCAGCGGTATCTATCTAAAAAGCTTAACACGGTATTTTTTTTCTTCAATTACTAAGTTTATACGAGCTGCTATTTGGTTGCATATTCACATCTAATGCAATACAATGTGACTCTACAAAATAAATTTCCCACTGAAGGTGGCACCACCATGGTAAAGGTACTGCTTTAGCGTTGTTGTGAGCCTGGGGTCTACCTGACGCGGCACCATTGAATTAACTTACAGACAGGTCAGGGTTACGTCGGACCCGGCCTCCTGCGCTAGCGTGGAGCGACTTCGGGCGGAGGAAAATATGCTGAGAAGTTGGGGAAAACGATAACAAACCGATATACTGGCATTTTGTACAACTATTTAAACATAGAAGGTTAGAATTCTGCGAACGGCGATTGTGGTGGATGAATCAATAAACCAGGGTTCCGAGCCACTTGCGCCTTGCGTGGTTGTTTGTGGCCCTTAGTCACGGCGCACTGGCAGTATGGGCACGGCGGCACTGGCAGTATGCGGTGGTCTTACATTCCGCTGATCTTCTTTACGCAGCTTCTCGGCTTGTTCGGGCGTGCGAATGCCAGTCACCCGGGATCGTTTGTCGGAGGCCTATCTGCGCATGACCACCATTCAAGACAGCACGTGTCTTGCCTGCCGCTACCAACGTCGTTGGATGGACTATCTCACGGATCGTCTACGTCGTTGCTTACAGCGGAGGATGTCAGCCTGCAGGCGGCGCCATCGTGCATCTGGACTACATAAGCTGCCTCCGTTCCTCAAGCTCAGTGGGCACGGCGGCACTGGCAGTATGCGGTGGTCTTACAATCCGCTGATCTTCTTTACGCAGGTGAGATTACCAAACGACAAGTGTATCCGTAGTAGCGACCCTTTTTTGCTTGTGCTGCCGTGCCCACAATTGTGTGTCATGATGTGTACCACCATGTCTGTACTAAAGAAATTGTGTTACTACTCGGTGGAGATATTGAAACAAACCCTGGCCCGGAATTGACGCAAATCTGTAAGCAGCTAGAAGCAATTGCTAGCGATATTAAGGAAATAAACGAGACCCGATTGGTCAACATAGAAAGCAAAATGGATACCCTCACGCGACTGGAACAAAAGGTCGAGGCGTACCAGGAACAAGTGGCCTCTATGAGTGCTCAAATCCTGGTTCTAGAGAATAAAATTGATGAATTAGAAAACTACAGCAGGAGATCAAATTTGATTGTTTACGGCATACCTGAGGTTGAAAAAGAAACCAACGAAAGGCTAGAGCACGTAGTGAACAGTGAAATCATTGAGGGCACTCTGAAACTGAATCCGGTTGCAATTGAACGGATTCATCGTTTAGGAAGGCCGGATCCAAACAAGACACGACCTGTAATTTTCAAACTGCTTGACATGAGAGATAAGAGCAGTATACTAAAGAACGGTCATAAACTGAAAAATACTAATTTTTCAATTGGGGAGGATTTTTCAAAAAAAGTACGAAATGTACGTAAGAACTGTGGGAAAGTGCCAAACCGAATCGCGATAAAAAGGAGAAAGTTGCATTAGCATTTACCAAATTGTACATAAACGACAAAGCCTATGTCTGGGACAGCGGTAAAAATGAACGAGTACCACTACAAAAAAACGACGCCATGAACAGGAGCCGCCCAATGACACGGCTCCATGCATTGGCGATAGGGTCATCACACTAGGCAAGAGTAAACACCAAACGAACCATTCCATACCCTTTAACAAACAAGGCGCACAAATAACGTAAACATTTGCAAGGAACGACAGCTGCGAATCATCAATTTAAATGCACGAAGTGTCAATAACAAAACAGAACAGTTCGAAATTCTGTTACTTCAACATGACCCTCACATTGCGGTAGTCACTGAAACCTGGTTGCGCAGTGATGTAAGTGACGACCACGTTTTCCCCCTGGTTACAATATATACCGGAAAGATAGGGAATCTAGGGGGGCGGGGTTGCCGTTTTGATCAAGAGATCAATAGAAGCCGTCTTTGTTGATAATCCTTTTGGGCTTGAGTGCGCATGTCTTAGATTGTCTTGTTGGGGCTTCAGTTTCATTCTTTATGCTCTTTATAGACCGCCGGATGCCGGAATCGATTATGTTGCCAAGTTACGGGATCACATGCTCCAGTTCCAAAATAGCAAAATAATACTAATTGGTGACTTCAACTTCCCAGGAGTCAACTGGGAGCGGTTCCAGACAGACTATGAATCCAACAAACAATACATATTTTGTTTGATATAATGCTTACTCACGACTTGATCCAATTAGTTAAAGAACCCACTCGTGTCAACGCTACATCCAGTTCTGTACTAGATCTTGTATTCGTTCACCGCGACTTTAGAGAGAGTACAGTAACAGTAGAAAAGGGCTTGTCAGATCATCATCTTGTTTGTACCTCTCTGCCATTGGGTCGGTCTGTCAGTACTGATAAATGTTCATCACGCTCTTTCAAGGATTATTCACAAGCTAACGATGAATGTATAATTGAGCATTTAGAATCTTCCCTTGATGATTTTGATGGGGACGACGTATGCGCCTTTGGAATAAATTTAAAGAAATGTGCCAATACTGCGTACAAACTTTTGTGCCAAACAAGCGCAAACGAGTCTATAAACACACGCCTTGGGTAACCCGGAAGATAATTCACCTTAAGCGAAGAATTAAACGCTTAAAAAAAAGACATGTACAATCGCCCGTTGTAGAAGAGATAAAGAATACTTTGGCACGTGAGGTTCGTGGCTCCAAGACTATTATTTTAAAACATTGTTGCCTAATTTTATTAAAAATGACCCTAGTAAATTTGGAATTATATTTCTGAAAAAAAGAAGCCAGTGAAGGAAATTGTAGTGGGTGGTTCTGTTATTTCAGACTCGCAGGCAATTGCACAGCATTTTAACCAGTACTTACAAAGTGTATTCTCTGATTCTTGCGCATGTATGTTGGCGCATACCGCAGTGTATCGTCCTAGTGATGTTGGCTTTATTTCTTACTCTGATGTGTTATCTATGCTTTTGAACCTTAATACAAAAAAACCATGTGGTCCCGACAGCATTCCAAACATATTTCTTTGTCGCTATGCTGAGTCACTGGCTAAATTTCTTGTTGTTTTATTTCGTACTTCTTTAATGTATGGCGAGCTCCCGAAGACTGGAAGATAGCTCTGGTTGTACCTATCTTTAAAAAGGGCGACCGCCTATGTTTTCAAATTACCGTCCAATATCACTAACATCTTCTTGTTGCAAACTAATGGAACACATTGTCGCCACTCGCATTCTTGAATACTTAAACGACCATAATATTCTATCAGGTTTCCAGCACGGGTTCAGGAAAGGGTACTCCACCGTCACACAGTTAGTTACAGTATTTCATTCGTTTGCACACACCTTAGACAACACCGGTCAAATAGATGCAATATTTCTAGACTTCAGTAAAGCATTCGATAAGGTACCACATGACAAATTAATTCTTAAGATGCGAAATATTGGCCTCCCCGAAATTCTGGTCACATGGGTTGCAAATTACTTGACAAACCGCAAACAACTGGTCATAATAGATGGAATAGGGTCCGGCTATCTTGATGTCACTTCGGGAGTTCCTCAGGGAAGTGTGCTGGGTCCATTGCTTTTCATACTGTATATAAATAATATTGTTAATGTAATTACAACTGGTGTGCAAATTCGGTTGTTCGCGGATGATGCAGTTTTGTTTCGGGATGTTTCGTGCTGTGCTGATCAGTGTGAACCTAATACCAATCTTACTAATATACTTGAATGGTGCAAGAACTGGGGAATGGTGCTGAACGCCGACAAAACACTGTATCTTCGCATAACACGAAAGAAACTTCCGTACGACTATCAATACACACTAGGAACATCGCCATTGAAACAAGTCACCAGTCATAAATACCTCGGTGTCACACTAACCAGCAATCTCTCGTGGAATTTACACATTGACAATATTTGCTCATCTGCCTTTCGTAAGCTATGCTTCTTAAAACACAAACTCAGAAATTCCCCTTCTAACGTCAAGCTCCTCAGCTACTTTACTTTTATTAGACCTAAACGCGAATATGCCTGTATAGTCTGGGACCCCTACACTAATCACAACATCCGTAAAATGGAAAGAATTCAGAGAAAAGCTGTAAGGTTTATTTACTCTAAATACTCACGTACTGATTCTCCCCCACAAATAATGCTTGCTAACAAAATCCCCAGCCTTGAATCCAGGAGAAAGTGCTTCCGCCTTGATTTCCTTTCTTCACTAAGTAAAGGTGCACTGTCCATTGACCCATCTCTGTTCTTGTCACCGTTACAAACAAGATCTACTAGGCACCACAACCCGAATGCTTTCGCCCCATATTTTTCTGCTACTGACACCTTCAAGTACTCTTTTTTTCCGCGTACGATACAAGAGTGGAATGAATTACCCCATGTATAAGTGCCTTGTTTGCTTGTATTGTTTGTATTTTTGCATTTTATCTTCTTGTGCCCCCCTGCTTGGACCTAACCATGGTATGCAGTATGTATTAAATTAAATTAATAGTCGGGCTCCTTATTCTTGGTTGGAAACCAATTACACATAATAAATAACACAAGAACTCGCTGACTCACTGTCCCTCCGGGCGCTTTCACTCAAGAGGGGCTCGTCCGTCACGTGGGTGATTTGGCAGATCAGTGCTTACTGCCATCTCACTCTGGAAGGACACGACTTAATCGCTTAGTGACGAGCTACGTGGTCGGTCGGCCACGAAGCCTCCCCAGGCAAACCATTGTAGAGAAAACACCCGCAAGGATGTTGGTTCGCAGTCCGTAGAAGTTGCCACATTCTTAGTACTTCGAGGCGTCTCCTACTTCTGGGCGCTCATTACAGTGAAATATTCATGGGGTTTCCAGATTTGGGAACGCACCCCAGCTATATTTTTCATGGACGAAATTTCTTCAACAACAGAGAGTCACAATAGCGTATACAAAAATAATATTCGGATACACATACAGCTCAGGCCATCCCGAAATACAGGCATGCCTTTCCTTCCAAATTGCTTCTTTAGGAAACTTCTGGAGTAATTTTCGCACATGTCCATATTTTTGCTAAATTGTGCATAGCATATAAAGAATGTTTGAAGGGAAATGAATACACATTGCCTCCTTACTTTTGTAGTCGAGATGCTCTCTTTGTTGGCCACAATGTAGTTGCCCAATAGGATGCCAGCAAGATACGTCGAGATGCGAAAATAGGGCTTGATGTAAACATCTTCCATGTAGTCATAAACACCAGGAACACTCCTGCGAAAATAGATTAGAACACTAAGTCATCACCCTATGCTACAAGTTTCAAATCATAAGTGCTGAATACTCAGTCAAAAGCTATAGCAGAGTGACGCAATTATATTCATAACACTATCTGTTATGAACTAGCCATTTAACTATTGCTTTCGAAGAATCTGTCAATATTGACATCGTCATTTTCTCTTCTTTTTTGTCAGCATCTTGATCGCTTGGACAAAGTTTTGACGTGTATTTCTAATGCTTGACTTCATCTAAACACAAGGACTGCCGTTTCGCCAACAAGAACATCAAGGTATTTGGCCACCTTGTCAGCAAAGATGGAGTTCGGCAGGATTTTGACAAGCTTGCTGCCGTGATACGTTACCCTCAGCCAGAAAATCAGTAACAGCCAGTTAAATCAGTAAGTTTCCTGGGCCTGTCGTCCCACTTCCACCACTTCATTAGTTCTTTTGCTGCCATCGCGTCGCCACTGCACAAGCTGCTGACATCCGGATCAACTTTTGCGCGGAACGACGACTGCGAGCGTGCTTTTCAAGCTCTCAAGCATGCTTTAACAATCCGACCCTTTTCTGTCCCATTTCAACCAGAACGCACCTACATGTCTGCACACCGACGCGAATGGCCATGTCATTGGTGCAATTTTTCTACAGCGGGATGCCACTTCACGGGAAAGAGTTATTGCGTATGCTAGTCATGCTGTTGCAGCTGCTGAACAGAACTACCCCATAACTGAGCAGGAGTGGCTTGCTGTAGTTTGGGTCATACAAAAATTTCGACCGTATCTTTACGCATGCCACTTCCCAGTTATTACAGACGATCACGTCTTGTGCTGGCTATTTTCACTGAAAAACTTGTCTGGTCGCCTCGTAGTTGGTTGCTCCGCCTACAATAGTGCGATTTTCACGTAATCTATAGCTCTGGCAAAAGACACCAAGATGCAGATGCTCTCTCTCGCTGTCCCCTTCCACTGTCATTATCAAGTACGTCAGCTGATTGCTCGTCTGGTGGGTAAGACACAGCGTCAACCCTCACATTATCACGCCTTGCTGTCGTCGACACGCTGGCTTAAAATCGCTACAACGAGTTCGGCACACGCCAGCGCGATGATCCATATTGCAATCGCATTGTCCTACGACAGCAGAACTAACCTTGACTCTGCAATTAAGAGCTATGAGCTATATGAGCACTTTCTGGTTACAAATGTTGCAAACAAAAGAAACTCAAGCTGTTAAATTTGAGATTTCGCGTAAAGTTGAGAAATGCAGTTATACAATACTTCTCCTCCCATGTCCTTTTTAAATTTAGTTGTTTCACATACTAGTTTTAATACTCGATAGCTGCAATATTATATAAAGTCGAACGCTAGTTTGTTTTGGCAATTAATTTGTTACTTATTTCTAACGTACTTGAATGACTTGCGAGAACATGTTTTTCTTCAAGGTGCAACAGCATACCGAACTATTTTTTGGTCGAGATATCAATCAGCGGGAAATTCCCTATGCCTGTCGAATGTATAACCAAGTACAAATAAGCAGAAATATGCAGTTTCTTAACAGCTAATGCAGTTCTTTCTGCTCAGTACTGAGCTGAAGTAAGGACGCAATCTCTATAAATCTTGCATTTAGGAACTTATTTAGAATATAGAGACATTAAATGATTGGAAACTACGAAGCCTGTTAACTGAAGTAATTATGATAGAAATGGTTGGTAAGTGAAGTGGGAGAAATATTAGTTTTCGCTGACAGCAAACTTTATAACTTCGGATAACAAATTATGTGCTCTATCAAATGAGTGATAATGGTGGTCATTTTTTCCGTCCGCTTTATGAGATAAATAGGAATATTCAAACGCGCGAACGTTAATCAGCACTGGTTGGAGAAACGGCGTTGACAGTGCAACTTCTTTTTTCAACTAGGAAGCGCACCCTTATTCTTCGCAGAAGACGAAAGTAGCAAAGTATGTGAGGTTTATGTTAGCGTAAATATTGCGTGCACGTTTATCTACCTGCGATAAAAGTTTTGAGTCGCTAAACAGAACCACCGATGAAAAGAAAGACTGGAAGAAGTTCACAGCAGAAGTTACAGAGCTATGCGTTACTGCTTCGTAGCGAGCTGTTGCCGCCGCCGCTTCATAAAAACAAAGTCGAGTAGGTGCTGCTGCACCCAGTGACCGCGATAACTCTCTGCTAGCAATTACTGAGATTTTGCAATGTGACAAGTTTCTTTAGGCACTCTGTTGCACACTTCTCGAAAATACCACTGGTTTCAAATTCACGGAGCAAATATTCAACTTCAAGCCTTCTTATTTTCGCATTTATTTATAGCACAGCTCTAAGCAAATGACAGTAAATCAGAGGCTACTAAGAAGGCAGTTGTGTTTGATTTATTTAGCCTTAGTATTGCTTTAGTAATTTGAGACCATAAACCAAATTTCTAGCTGCTCATGAATTTATTTTCAGTGAGCGAAGTACTAGAGATATATCATGGTCCTCTATATCGCTTCCGAATCGTCCATTATGGAGAGATTGACGTACGCCAAACAGCTACCTGATTACTGTCCACGACGTTTTGTTAGCAAAGGCTGTGCAGGTAAAGCATGACTATTCACTGTGTTGTGCCGATTCTTTCTGTAGTTTTAGAGCAGCACATTCAAGCATGCAACAAAGTAACGTGATTGCCCTAAAGGAGTGTGAAGCGTGAAAAAAAAGACATATCGCAGGCATTTCAGGATGATTTTCCATTGTGTACACGTCAACATTACCACTAAAACAATTTTTCCCCAATACGTAGGAAAACAGGCACCGTACAACAGTGCGCAAAAAAAAAGAATGCACGTTAAAGAACCCCAGGTAGTCGAAATTTTCGGAGCCCTCCATCCACTACGGCGTCTCTCATAATCATATGGTGGTTTTTGGACGTTAAACCCCACATATCAATCAAAAGAATACAAACCCCAATCCGTGCACTGCAGTATACACTGTGGTGAAACTAGCGGAAGCCACAACAAGCACTCCGCACACCATCTTTCCTACACGAGGCCATCTGCGAACATAAAAACAAAAATGAAACGAAGGAGATTGCATAGGTAACCTGAAAACAACTGTATCATCAGAACTAACAGACATTGTTAGTTGTCGAACAGACAGTCTAAATATTGTTGGTATAAAAACAAAAAAAGCCCTCGAAAACACTGTTTTCTTTAATTAAAAGCATATAATATATGACGATGAGCAATCATTGTTTTATTGCGATTGTGATGTTCAGACACAAAATTAACTGCTTCATTAGTTTTATGTTCTCAAGTGCCATATGCGATAACAAAGAGCGATTTATCCGTACAGTGCTAATGAAGATCTTCAATATTGTTGCGCCTACTAACAACAGCCTAATTGCATGCACTACATAACAGGAGTCTCACTCACCTCAGCTACCGGGTTGTGGCAACGAAATTACCCTCACAAAATAGCTGAGACGGTGAAGAGCTATTAGGACAGGGGGCATGAGATGAGGGGGCGAGCAACTTCCCGCTTAGGTTGGCCATTCGAACAAGGCCTGTCCAGAATATTTTATATTAAAAATACGTGAATAGATTTGCTGTCAGCATTCAATTGATGCTCACCTTCAAAAAGGCTATAATATCAGAATTGATTTCTAAATATAGTTTCTCTTCAAACTATGTTACAATGCTTATGACCCCTTGGGGTGCTTAGAAAAAAATATTAAGGTGAGCTTTATTTGTGAATATCCGTGGCATACCTACTTGAGATAAAAATAATAATAATTGGGACGACGATAGTCACGCGCTGGCTAAGCCGCTGGCTGAATATCTGAGGGCCACGTGTTTGAACCCCTGCACTACACAAAGATGGACTGAACTTAATTTTTTCAAGGTCAGAAGTACTATATTAAAATAGCTCTGATTAAAAACAATTTTTACTAAGTATAACTTACCTGTACAGAAGATAAATAAATATTGGAGCGATGAAGTAAAGTTGAAAGTCAACTGCAGAGTACCATGTATGTGGTAAGCACTGCAAATAAGTTAAAGGAGCATTTTCTTGGTGAACTAGAACTCTCTCAGGAATCACGTGCGCAATGAAAACTGCTTCAAGACACATAGAATGTAACATACCCGCTTTATAGGCAATATTTGAAATACTCATATTTGACTCCCAATTAGAGGGAACCTTTATTCCTGTCACAATATTGCAGGTATATTCAGCTCCTTGGCTTATTCAGCTGGTGTGCTAGGCATTTAGGATATAGGTTCCTAATAAAGACATTAGTCTATCTTGGCAGACTTGAACGCAGATATTTCGGTCTGTCTGGCAATCTGTCACAAAGCACAGCCACCCAGCCGAAGTTTCCGCCCATCCTAAACGGCCAGCATCTTAGACTGAAAGGCGCTTTCACACTTTTGAAGATTGCTGCTCAAGAAGGACATATTATCAATCTCTGATGCACAACAACCGTTCGAAAGTATTACGTGGTGTGTTTCTTCACCAGGAAATGCTTAGACGGGTAACTCAAAATAATTCACATCATATCCACAGACTGAATGATAAATAGTGAGGCAAAGTGTCCATCCGTCAGTTTGTCCATCCATCCATCCGTCCGTCCATCTGTCTCTCCCCCTGCCTGCCTGCCTACCTGCCTGCCTGCCTGCCTGTCTGTCTGTCTGTCTGTCTGTCTGTCTGTCTGTCTGTCTGTCTGTCTGTCTGTCTGTCTGTCTGTCTGCCAGCCAGTCCGTCTGTCTGTCTGTCTGTCTGTCTGTCTGTCTGTCTGTCTGTCTGTCTGCCGGCCAGTCCGTCTAGCCAGCCAGCCAGCCAGCCAGCCAGCCAGCCAGCCAGCCAGCCAGCCAGACAGACAGACAGACAGACAGACAGACAGACAGACAGACAGACAGACAGACAGACAGACAGACAGACGGACGAACGGACGGACGGACAGACTGACAGACGGACGGACGGGCGGACAGACAGACAGGCAGGCAGACAGACTGACAGACAGACAGACAGATAGAAACACACGCAAACAGAAGCATGGACGCACGGACGGATGCAGAGAGCGACGGACGAGTGCACGGGCGAACGAACGGACGCACTCATGAAAGCACGAACTGACTGATGGGTGCTTCACCTCCTTCATCATCATTCACTCCATGGTTATGCTGTGACACTCTTTTTATTGACATGTAATGCAATGCAACTGGCTACTACCACGATGACTACGACGACATGGAAGGTACGACCCATGGTGTCGTGCCTCCCGTGTTCTTTCCAGCTTCGCATTAAATCCTACTGTTTCTTATGCTGCGCTAAATATGCGACGCGCTGCACAAAAAAAGGCGACTGATGGACGTCTTTCGACGCTTGCAGTGAATCACGCAGATACACAACCAATTTTTTTTTTGCTTATGACGCTTTCTGTGCAAACCAATAGTGTTTTCTGACTAATTTGTTGAGTGCTGTCCCTCAAATAGGAACTTCGAGCATATGTCAGCTTTATGAACCTGCCCACTCAAAACTGCTAAATTATTTATTTCAGCTATAAGAATAATGCATGCACGGTATGTTGAACACCAAAAAAAACACCCATAGCGCATTGAAATGTACTTTAAGCATTTCTCTAGTTGGAGAGAGCCTGCACATTGAAATAGGTAAAGAAGATGTATTTATACTTCAAAAGCGTGGTCATCTTTCAAAAGGTGCAGGTTCAAAACTGCATTAACGCATGACGAGTTGCATGTGTGACCTAATAAAGCCAGCTGTATTAATGTACAATAATAAGGTTACACATAAAAAAAGAAAACGAATATTTTTATTCATGATAAGGAGGAGTACCTAGGCTTTGCAGGTGGGGCAACTTTCTGACTAGTGCAATTTCTCTAACAAGCCACTTTGATCTGTAGTGCAGCTCGTCAAGTGCATATAAACGCAATCATAGATTGAAATTTCGCTCTCATATTGAGCGTGTCATTCCAATTATTTATATTTTACTAAGGGTTCCCTGTTGTATGACGTGGTGGAACAACTGAAAAACAGATATCCCGCACAGCCAGGGAGTGTGAAATTTACCCTCATCGTCTGGTGCCGACTACCTACCAGCAATGAGTACTTCTAAAACTGTACTGTGTAATAAGTGTATATAAAATATTCCTATCTTCATTACAACCAGGGTGCATAGATTGAAACTTACGGCTTTCTTTGTATTGATAAAATTCTGAATGTTTATAAGATTCATCCACCAATTGTCTCGGCAAGTGCTCTCGTAAGTAGTTATAATATCCATCCAGAGTGGTCCATCACCCATGTAGTGCATCAAGAAAGCGGAAACTGCAACTGTTACCATCATAAGAGGCGCAGTCCTGCAAGAGTATTCAGAAGTTTATATTACTTCTTGTATCATACCAATGAGAAATATAACACGTTAGTAGTTTGTAGCCCACTCATGATGATGATTCCGTACTAATGGACGGGTAATCAGCTGTGTCATTTATACTGACATTCAATGCAAAGCGGCACGATATTTTAGAGCTGGACTATACTGGACGACCACTTTCTATGGCAACGAAGGGAAAGCTACGGAGGTGGAACCACAGCACATATAGTCCTCCGCAAAGAAGTCTGTCTCGACTCTCTTTTTGAATGCCAGCCGTATTCGAATAATAAAACTGCGCAAAATTCAGTACGTTTCCTTACAGAGCTGTTTGTAGGTGAAATTTGGCACAAGATCTTCGACGAGTCGGTCGGTACAGTTGGAGGTTGACGAGCACTCACCTAAAGACACAAATGTCATTTTGATTGTTAGGCGCACCTACAACGTGCGACGTTTGCAGACGTGCGATAACACCAAATGACACTTAATAAAGCGAAACAAATATTAATACCTCCTTGGTTCATGCAGCCTTTTTTTATAAACAGCATCGCGTAGAAGAAAAAGTAATGTGTTAAGGCGTTTATTAGCCGGCCCACAGTGAGCAAGCACAATGGCGACAGTAACGGCCAAGCACGGGCTCTCAGCGCGAGCGCCGTCCTTGTTGGGTAGCCCCACTAGAAGGTACTCAAGAGTTCGACCCATTTCATAGTTCGGAGGCTTCGCTACAATTAACCCGGGGTCGAAAAGGAGCCGCCTGGCGACCTAACAGCTTGTTATTATGAGCGGGTCATAATAAGCCTTCAGGCGCTCCACGTTGACGATGTCTCGCCCACGGCGGCGCATGTCCGAAGATTGTTCAACGGGTTCGATCAGATAGTTGACGGGTGAGGTGCGCTCGATGACACGGTAGGGGCCTTCGTATTTGGGACGTAGTTTGGAAGAGAGGCCAGCGGCAGAGGTCGGGATCGAGAGCCATACAAGCGCACCAGGAAGGAACGTGGGCTCAGAAGTGTTGGAGCCATCACGGATACTCTTCTGCCGCTCTTGCTCTTGCGTCGTAAAAGTCTTGGCAAGCTCGCGACACTCTTCAGCAAGCCTGGCTGTCTCGGAAATAGGTGTACAATCAGATGGATCCGGCGTGTACGGGAGTATCGTGTCCATGGTGTGCGACGGGTGCCTTCCGTACAGCAAGTAGAAAGGTGAAAAACCAGTCGTGCTCTGAGGGGCGGTGTTGAAGGCGTAGATGACGAAGGGCAGTATATTATCCCAATTATTGTGGTTGGCAGCGACGTACATAGAAAGCATGTCACCGAGGGTGCGGTTAAAGCGTTCGGTGAGGCCATTCGTCTGTGGGTGGTAAGCAGTAGTTTTGCGGTGGACAGAATGGCACTCTGTCAGAAGAGCTTCGACGACTTCCGACAAGAAGACACGGCCTCGATCGCTGAGAAGCTCTTGGGGTGGTCCATGGCGCAGTATAAATCGATGCAGCAGGAAGGACGCAACATCGCGCGCAGCAGCCGCAGGGAGAGCGGCGGTTTCGGCGTATCGCGTTAAATGGTCAACGGCAACGATGGCCCAGCGGTTACCAGCCGACGTCAGAGGAAGTGGTCCATACAAATCGATACCTACGCGCCCAAAGGGACGGTCAGGGCAAGGTAACGGTTGTAGACTAGCGTGCGACATGTGAGCTGACGGTTTACGGCGTTGGCAAGTGAGGCAAGAGCGAACGAATTGCTGCACATAGCGGTACATCCCGCGCCAGAAGTAGCATTGTCGAATGCGATGGTAGGTTTTGAATACCCCAGAGTGCGCGCATTGCGGATCAGAATGGAAGGATTCACATATCTCTGACCGCAGACTGCGGGGTATCACGAGTAACCACTGCCGGCCGTCGGCGTCGTAATTGCGTCGGTGTAGAAGGCCGTCACGAATGGCGAAATGGCGAGCTTGACGACGCAATGCACGCGTGGATGGCGTTGCGGATGGATCAGAGTGCAAGTCGATCAGCGGGCCGATCCAATTATCCTTTCGCTGTTCGGTAGCGATTATGTGAACGTCAATGGCAGAAACAGCAGCCGAGGATACTGAGCAGAGCACATCACCTTCAGGCAGAGGGGAGCGCGAGAGGGCGTCGGCGTCAGCATGCTGGCGTCCGTTGCGGTACAGCACGCGGATGTCGTAGTCTTGTAAACGAAGAGCCCAACGGGCGAGGCGGCCTGAGGGATCCTTCAATGATGAAAGCCAGCATAGTGCATGATGGTCGGTGACGACATCGAATGGGCGACCATACAAATACGGTCGAAACTTTGTAAGAGCCCAGACGATTGCCAGGCACTCTTTCTCCGGGACGGTGTAGTTTGTCTCAGCTCTCGTGAGCGTACGGCTTGCATATGCTACGACATATTCAGGGAATCCGGGTTTGCGCTGCGCCAGGACAGCGCCGAGGCCTACACCGCTGGCGTCTGTGTGCACGTCCGTCGGGGCCGTAGGGTCGTAGTGGCGTAGAATGGGAGGAGACGTCAACACATGGCGGAGCTTCGCGAACGCGTCGTCGCACTCAGACGACCACGAATTGAGGGACCCGTTACTTCCAAGGAGCTTCGTCAGCGGTGGTATAATCGTGGCAAAATTTCGTATGAAGCGTCGGAAGTATGAGCACAGGCCCACGAAACTACGCAGTTCTTTGACGGACGCAGGTTTGGGGAATTCGGCCACGGTCCGAAGCTTGGCTGGGCTAGGAAGAATGCCATCCTTGGACACGACGTACCCAAGGATGGTGAGTTGCCGTGCTACAAAGCGGCACTTCTTCAGATTTAGTTGCAAGCCGGCATTGCTGACACGTGCAAAAACTTCTTTCAGACGTTAGAGGTGCGTAGAGAAATCTGGAGCGAACACAACAACGTCATCGAGGTAACAGAAGCACGTGTGCCATTTCAAGTTGCGCAGAACGGTGTCCATCATGCGCTCAAAGGTCGCAGGTGCATTACATAGACCAAACGGCATGACGCTGAATTCGTACAAGCCGTCGGGTGTGATGAACGCAGTCTTCGGTCGAGCGTCATCAGCCATGGGTACTTGCCAGTACCCCGAGCGCAGATCGAGAGAAGAAAAAAATTCGGCTCCGTGAAGGCTGTAAATTGCGTCATCGATGCGCGGCAGTGGGTAAACATCCTTGCGAGTGATCCTATTGAGCCGTCTGTAGTCCACACAGAACCGCGCAGAACCATCTTTCTTCGCAACAAGAACAGCAGGAGACGCCCATGGACTGTCCGAGGGCCGAATAACGTCGCGTCTGAGCATATCATCAACCTGCTCGTTAATTTCCCGACGTTCAGCAGGCGACACGCGGTAGGGACGATGCCGTAACGGTGGATGGGCACCAGTGCCGATACGATGCGTAACAGCGGACGCACGACCGAGAGAACTTCGCCCGACATCGAAAGAAGAACGATATTCTCGCAACAGGTTCAGAAGCTGGGAACGCTGTACCGACGTGAGGTTGTCATCAATGTAAGGGCCAAATACATCACGAGATGATGAATCAGAAGTGGAAACAGCACTGATGGTACGCAAATTGGGACAACGCGAGTCATCAGGTACGTCCAGGAGTTGTGCGTTATCCACTGCTTCCGCTCTGCCGAGACATTCCCCTCGAACCAAGGTAACAGTGTACGGAGATGGGTTGGTCACGAAAATAGAGGCCTTGCCCTGGGTGATTCGCACGGTCGCGAAAGGTACTAGCAACCCTTTCCTTCGGCAAGCACGGTCGGATGGCGAAACGAGTGCAATTGTGTCGGAGAGTCCAGTGCAGTAGACAGATACGCCCATCGTGGAGCTTGGAGGCACTATGGTATCGTCTTTCACGAGAATCTTGCTCACTTTCGAAGAACTGTCTTCCGGCGCCAAATGCGAGAAGGGGGAGAGTTCAATTTCGGCGGCGGCACAATGGATGACGGCGTCGTTGCGGGAGAGAAAATCCCACCCCAGGATGACGTCATGAGAGCATGCGGGAATGATGATGAATTGGGCGACATACAGAACGTCCTGAACGACAACGCGAGCTGTGCACCCTGCTGTAGGATGGATACGATGCAAACCGGCGGTACGAAGGGACAATCCAGAAATTGGCGTCGTCACTTTACGAAGCAAGCGGCAAAATTTTTCGTCCATAACGGATACTGCAGCTCCTGTGTCAATAAGAGCAGATACGTGAACACCGTCTACAAGCACGTCAATGACATTAGATGGGCGGCTCTGAGGGCTTTCACAATGCGATAGCATCGCAGTCCTTGCCTCGGGGACTGTGACGACTAGTTTTCCCGCTCGTGAGCAGCTGAACTTGGCCGCATGGGGCACGGGGAACGACGTCGTGGAGACGGTGACCTACGAGAAGATGAAGCTAGGCGAGTTGGCGGTGGCATAGACGGCGTTTCCTCGTGATAGGTACGCCTGATCTGGCCAGCAACAGGTGACGAGATATGGGGCGTCTGTACGCGAGTGCAATAACGTGCTACGTGGCCGGCGTAACCACAGGCAAAGCAAATGGGCCGGTTGTCGGATGTGCGCCATCGGTTCGCCGTGGTAGGTCTTGTCCATGACGCAAGAGCCGATGGACGGAACGGTGGCTGGAAAGGCTGCAGGGGGTGCTGGAGCTGAGTCTGAGAGGTCACGTCAACATACGTAGCCGGCATACCCGCTGCAAAGGATGGAGGTCGTGCGGCAGCTTCGGCGTAAGTCAGTGGGGCGGGCGCTTGAACGCCTGGAGGCGGCCTGGCGACCACTTGGGCGTAACTTGGGGGTACAGGAGCCGGAAGCTGTTGTGGGTGGTACGCAGGCATGACTTCCGCTATTTCCTGCTCAATCGCTCGGCGGATGGGGGGGGGGGGAAATAGTAGTGGCCGATTGTTGAGCAGCCGGTGGGTAGGCAAAGGGCAGGAGAGAGAACTGCCGTGCGATTTCCTTACGTATGAAGGACTTGAGGTCTGCCAGCAGTGCCACCTGGTCACAGCTCGCCTCCAAGCCTGCAAGCCCTGCATCTCGTGGTGTAAAGCGACGGGTCATAGAACGCTGCCGGCGGAGCTCCTCGTAGCTCTGGCACAGCGTGATGACCTCAGCTACTGTGCCTGGGTTTTGGCAAGCAGCATCGTGAAGGCATCATCGGCAATGCCCTTCATGACGTTCCGGATCTTGTCTGATTCGGACATGCTGTCGTTGGATTTCTTGCATAGGTCCAGGACGTCTTCAATGTAACTGGTGAATGATTCACCGGCCTGCTGAGCGCGTTCGCGTAAGCGCTGCTCGGCTTGCAGCTTACGAACGGCAGGGCGGCCAAAAACGTTGGTGATAGCGGTCTTAAAATCGGACCAGGTTGCGAAATCAGACGCGTGGTTGTTATACCACATGCCGGCCACACCCGCGAGGTAGAAAACCAGGTTGCCGAGTTTACCTGCCTCGTCCCAATAATTGGGGACGCTGACGCGTTCGTACATGGCGAGCCAGTCCTCGACGTCGGTGCCATCCGCGCTGGTGAAGACAGGTGGGTCGCGGATGCGGGGGACACCGGAACATGGCGTCGGCGCAGGAGGAAGCGTTTGCTGGGTGGCGTCTTGTTGCATGGTTGAAGGCACGGTACGGGATCTAAGCTTCAAGGGCATCGAATGTGAACCGAAGATGTTTGAAGGGCACAGCACCTCCACCAAAATGTTAAGGCGTTTATTAGCCGGCTCACAGTGAGCAAGCACAATGGCGACAGTAACGGCCAAGCACGGGCTCTCAGCGCGAGTGGCGTCCTTGTTGGGTAGCCCCACTAGAAGGTACTCAAGAGTTCGACCCATTTCATAGTTCGGAGGCTTCGCTACAAATGTTGTTTTTATTATCTTGACGCGGAAAACACAGGCGCGTTTGTGGGACTGTATTCCTGAACGTTGGCACACGCCCACTTTGGTTCTGTAGCCTTCTCTTCATTGCCACAGAAAGTTGGCCCCAAGTGTAGAATGTATCGGTGATGTCAGTTTGAAGTCGCTTTAAAATAATAAATTGTTGGGGTTTAACTTCTGAAAACCTCCATATGATTATGAGAGCCCATACGGGCGGCTAGTGAATTTTTGACCACCTGAGGTTTTAAAGACGAAAGTCTTTCTTGGTGACCTTCGACACAAAAATTTTGGTCTGTCTGTCTGTCTGTCTGTCTGTCTGTACGTTTGTCTGTGTGTCCCCTGTTAACAGCAAAGCGTACTGGAAATGGTCGACCCCATCCTCAGGGCCCACCAATGCTGTTCAAGGTTTAGCGTTCATACTTGTGCAATTATCAAGTAAAAAAAACCATTATCGCTAGATTCGGTCATCATCGCTCGATTTGGACAAGGCGCGGTGAGTGAATTCGATCTATATAGGCGCGTCTTTCATGAAGTTTTCTCCAGCAGCCTTGAAATTATTGAGCGAAGCACTCGCACACTCGACCAATGACGGCCGTGAAGTAGAAAGATCTTCCTGCTGGTCACTGAGGATGCTCTCGTCGCAAGACTTCTGTGACTGCGGTCTTTCAACTCTGGAATTAGGAGCAGAGAAAATGCTTGTTGCCAAGCAGCAGAGCTTTGCTCGGCCGCCTTTTATGGTGAGCTGAACTTCCCTAGACAAAAGATAATCGGCGCCCGAAACTACGTCCTCGTCGAAGCCCTCTAGTACAGGAACGACGGTGAGGGACTTAATCACAGCTTCGGTGTGTATCTGCAAATAGAGCGCACCGACAGCAACGCGCCCCCAATAGTGCCGCGCAAGGGTGCCTTGGACCAAGGCTGAGGGCGAGTAGGGCATGGCGTCAATGTAGTGCAGTACGCGGAGTTCCAGTTTGAACCACAGCCATAAGCTCACCAATTCTGTCGACGCGGACTTGAATCATAGGAAGTGGCCACGTTCGGTGTTGAGTAGCTGAATGTCGCCCTTGTGGTGGTGTCACGACGTTGGTCCGGTCACTGAAACTAGGCGGACGCTCCTTTCTCTCGACTGACTGTGGGGAATATTCCGAGTCTGGTGTTTGTGTTAGCGGTAGTTTCCATACTTTCTGACGGTAAGCGGCAGTGCTCAAGTGTAGCGTCGACAATGTGCCCCTCCAGAGCTTTATTGTCAGTACCACTCAGGTTGGACTTGGCGGCGGCAGCGTGGTGAAGGTGCTTCCTACCGAAAGAAGCTATAAGCCTTGCGCTCCACTTCGTCCAGAACAGCTGACTTGTGCCCAGGAACCGGTGCCATGCCGCAGCCCTGTTACGAAGGTGGTCAAGGGCTACGCATCCTTTCTCTAGAAGCCTCTTTTGACACGTGTTTGTTGTCACTTATTCATTTTTTTTAATATGCAAAACTAACCATGTCGGAAGCAAGCACTATAGTCTTTGCAGCTTCCTTTCATCTTGTCCTGAGTTCACGATATAAAAATTGTTATGAACCACCGGCTAGCCCAGGGCCCCCTCCCTTTTACTGCTTAACACAGTGGAAAGGCTTTGATATCGTTTCATGTTAGCGGCTATAAAAATGTACCTCGACCAAAAAGCAGAATATCCAAAGAAGATCGTAACTACAGCATATTTGGTACCTGGAAATATCCTATCGTGCAAAAAGTGAACAGAGCACTACCGTGGGACATTGCAATGGGGCGGCTCATTTAGTAGTTTCGGGACGTTAAACCACAAGAATTAGTATTCTTACTATTACAATCAGGAGAGAAGAAAAAGTATTCGCTCTAGTACAAAGTCCTTTCCATATTATAGGTTTGCGAAGTTTATGGCCATTATCCCTATAGGTAGACGTTTACTATGATATAAAGATTATGTAGATATACCAGAGAAAGCCATATTATAGACGTTAGGCATGCTTGTATTGCAGGGCTCGTAAGACATTTAACACGTGGGGTTCTACTGTACAAGGTCAGTCTACTGTACTGACCTCGTAGAGTAGACTATCCTCAAATATTTCGCCATTATCGATATATGATTGCAGCAAATGGGAAGGAACCCACGTTTTTCAGGTCAGCAGCCAAGTGCCGCAGCCTCTACACCATCATTGTGGCAGCGATTGCATTCAGGGCGTAAAGAAAATTAGAGGCGACAAAAAATACTCCTAGTGTGCAGTTCTCGCCTCACCGCGGTAGTCTAGTGGCTGAGGTAGTCGGCTGCTGACCCGCCGGTCGCGGGTTTGAATCGCGGCTGCGGCGGCTGCATTTCCGATGGAGGCGGAAATGTTGTAGGTCCATGTGCTCACATTTGGGTGCACGTTAAACAACTCCAGGTGGTTGAAATTTCCGGAGCCTTTCATTAAGGCGTCTCTCATCATCATTTGGTAGTTTTGGGACGGTAAAAACCACATATCAATCAATTAGTATGCTGTTCTCAAATGTAGAAGCCACTGATACGCTTGCTTACCTCAAGTAGCGGTGGAAATAGTAAATAAGCCAGTTTTTCTGGCCATTATTTTTTCTGAGGTACGTCAGATTTGCATATCCCACGAGGAGACCACTGAAACAACAAAAAAGTAGTTTAGCTGCAAAGGTGACCTAATAAATAAGTAATATAATAGTAAATCAGCAAAATGTAATAGTAAATCAACGTTTAATGGTTTTTCGTTCATCTTGTGCTCTCCACAATATACTGTTGTAACGGAATACGGCCGCTCCACGGTTAGAAGCTGATTCCTTGCTGCCTGGTAAGTGTGGAGAGCACATTGCGTAGAAAAGTAAACGATCTATTGGCTGATATCTATCGAAAAATATTGTGTGATACTGCTCTCAACTACGCCCTCATTATCAATGTACGCAAAGCAAAGCTTCCCAAAAGCTGCAAGATGATGGCTGCCCCATCAAAGTTGTGACTAAATTGACGCAGCCACACCCATCTCTGCTAGCATGCGACTGAAAGAGACCATCTTTTTGGATGTCCCAAGGTAGGCACGCGTTCGGCTTTTTTGTTTTAGGGCTGGCTCGAAAGGAGTTTGACCATGGTGTCCTCCTTAGCTGACGTTGTCCCTTCTGAAAGCTTTGCCAAAGCGCGGTGGAGTTTATTCGCCGTATTCATAGAACTCTGTCGACGCTTAACGCTAACTCAGTTTGCCCTCACTCAAAAACTGAGGCATGCTGGTCGCTGGTTGTGAGATTGTGAAGCATTGTCGCAAGAAGTTTCTTCTGTTGAAGTGGATTGACATGAGGAAACCGAGGAGAAATTTTCGCAGTGGATGGCGCACCACGTGACATGAGCGTCATCGAAACTTGCCGTCCTCGCTTCATTTGCTCTCCTCCGATCGCGGCACGGATAGAAATGTGTCGCCGCTATTTCGATACCTGCCTTTGGCGGCTGTCTGCTGTCGATCAAGGTGATTCAGCGTCAAATATGTCAGCATTGGTTGGATTAGCGTGGCTAGAAAGCAGGCTGATGGATTAAAATCCACATGTTTTAGTTTAGCGGCAATGACCGAATGTGTTTCGTGAGACAGTAGCAGAGGCGAGTGGTTTTGGGTGGTCTTGTTGGTGGATTCGTGGTTTTCATTCACCACATAAGCGCGCTTCAAAAGCGCGCATGACCACATAAGCGCGCTGCATAAGCATAGGAGTCGAGAGTATGCACAAGGATTCCGCAAGCGTAGCTGTGTGCATGCGACGCGTCCACTGCTGCACCCGATTAAACTAATCACGTTGCTATTTTGTCCGCGGAGCAGAGCAATTTGCCCTCGCGTGTGAATCTAGCTTTAGGGGAGTGTCACAGCATGTCATTGCTCACAAGGACGGGCTATAGCGACGTTCTTGTTGTGTTTTTCTGCCCGTAGAAGGTTGAAGCCCGTTTTGTTTTCCCGTCACTTCTTGGAGCGGGCTTGGGACTGCGTTTTGTGGTGTTGCAGCAAGGAATAAAGTGTTCCTCAGTCTACCGAGAGCAGCACAGTGTATTTAGGACGCTTCGCACGGTGCCTTCGTGTAACTAATGAATGTGCGCAGATGTGTGCTAATTCGCGCAAGGCACTGACAAACGCACTTCTGTGGCGCGCTAAGTCCTAACCCATACTAGTGGCCGTACTGAGATAGGTGCACACTACAGAGCCATTTTTTAAACTAACGGGTGAAGACGAGTATTCACGCCATTGACCAAAAATAAGTGGACAGAATGTACTTTGAAAGCTCATTCTTGCTGTCAAACTTGACTGATCCAGTGAAGGAATGAGGTGTGGGAAGTACCAGTGCACAATTGTGAGCCTCAATAATCTCTGAAAAACCAACTAATGCTCATGTGTAGCTATCTGCTCCTTTTATTTATCAATAGCAATAGATGACTGTTAGTAATAGATGTTGGGATGTAAGAGATATCCGCACTCAACCTGGCTGCTAGTGTGTGCCATAACAACTATTTCATTCCCACTTTCATTTGCACCATCTCTGTGCACACCTTTCAATTTGTTGGGAATCTTGGCGTGGCATCGTTTGCATAAATTAACAAGTGAACTGTGGAGATTAGAAATGCAAGTTATCAGTGATAGCTAATTTTCTCAGAGCGTTTGCTCCTCAGTCGGTGTAAAGTTTATCAATGGTATAAATAAAGGGTCTTAGGTATTCGCAGGTATTGTTGTTTCTCATGACGTGATGATCTACACTTTTTAAAAAGACGTTTATTAACATCCTGCAGACAACAGCTTGTATCCTAGTTAAGTGGATCATCTCACAGTCATGACACGTGGCAGGCAGGTCTCAGCAAATGCAAAAATTGTGTAATTCTTGAAGAACGGAAAACGTGTGCCTCTATGCATCGGAATGTCTACTATTCTGTTTTCCGGTAGGAAAGAAGTTGCTTGAAAAGAGCAGAAGGTCATACAGACTATCAACCACGTGACGACCAAATAAGTACGGTTGTCTCGATCAGTGAGGTTTGTGCACATTAGGCAATTCAATTTCATTCCTTTAGTACGCATTTTCTTAGTTCTGCTTGTCACTTCTCTTGGTCCTTTTTGATGGGGCTGCTGAGTGATTCAGTGGCTATGCTGTTTCTTGTGAAAAAAAATGTGTGCGTTTACAGTTGATGCTAATTTTCTGAGACGTATCGACGAGCTCATGAGACATGATGTGCGTTCAATTGAAAGACGTCTAGCATTGAGGCAAGTACTGATTATTGAACATGAAGCATGTTTCCCTTTTGCTGCCTTTCGCTGTATTCGACCATGCCTGACATTTTGATGGTTTAACTTATGTAAAATGACTTTAATTCAGCTAACTTAGTTTATCTTCAAGCAATGTTGATAATACAGCATCAGGAATGGCGTTTTTCACCAATATACGTATAGCAATAATCAATGCATTGAATAAGACGTATATGCATTACTAGAACTGCAAGTTCATGTGCTTGCGCTCAACATACCCAACGAACAAAAACGTATCCACTGCCAAAGTTCCTCGATCAATAATTGTCGTCGTCAGGTGATTTTTGTACAGTTCGTGTGAGTTGCCTGCAATTGAAAGATCGTGTGAGCTCCGTAGGAAACGTAAACGTAAGTTTCTGCAATACATTGTGCTATTTCACCTTTTTTTTGTAAAGTCACCTCACATTTTTCATTATCTGATGGGCAGGTTTGCTACCCGTGCACATCACACACTTTCGTGGCTTAGAATTTTCGCAGATACGTGTAGCCAACAAAGCAAGTGTGCAAGTCGGTCGCGCATAATTTCGCAAAAAACGGCATACTTCTGCATCTCAGGAAACTTTCTCAAATGGATTTTCTTTTTCTCTAGTTTTCATTGTTTTACTCCTGCCGCATTTTTTCTAAGCATGGTACTTGCGTTTTAATAATATCTTTCAGTGAACAACTTTTGGCTACTACTATTCGTGCATCGATTTTAACTTTTCGTATCGAGTTTATATTCATTGCACATATTCACCATGCAATTAGAGCGTCCTCTATCGGTGTCGCTGACCACTAAGCGTTTCATCAAATGGCCAAAGTTCTAGAAGCTGCCATGTAGTAATGCCACTCAGAACATTCTGGCACGACATTATATGGATATATATTTATGCAGCATGACGTAAATCATGGATGAGTGTGAATTTTTACAATCTTTTTAGTAGGCAATCTCTTACATTTATATTTTCATAAAAATAATAATGCTTTGATACGTACGGAAAACTGCGATGTCACGAGAAATATATCGATTGTGTATACAAACAATCCATGCAATGCTGAAGAACCTCAGTCCATTCAAGACGGTCAATGATCCCGCCATCGAGATCTCGCTTCCAAACAGTCTGGCGCCATTTTCAAGTAGAGAGAAGCAAAGAAGTGCCTTGCGGGTTTTTGGACCAAATGATCCTTCTATGAAGAAGACACAGTGATGGACTGTTATTGACAGGTACACATAAAGAACGCTCGTCAACTTCACAAAAAAAAAAACACTGTAAGCTTTTATGTGCCAGAACTAGACCGTGACATTAGAATCTGTCTCATAGCTGGGTAGGCTAGTTCAGTTTGTGTATTTTACGTACTTGAACGTGCATCCAAGTTGAGGTGAACATATATGCTTACCAAGGAGCTCTTCAAAGCCAAAGTAAGTTGCTGAGGATCGTTGTTGCCCTTGTTAGCCCAGCTGCGAAGGCCAAGCCGGGCGAGTTGGAAAGCGTGGGTTAAGACAAAGTGGTGACACATAACCGTACTGTAGCAAGTAGAGTGTGGTGAAAAAATACTAGCAAGATGTAGAGGGTGAAACTGAGAAGGAGAGCAAAGGTGAACATTTAGTGGAAGCAGGGTGACCAACAGGTGCAGTCGACCAATCATAGCACTCCCTCAAGCACTTGTGGTGCTGTTGAGAGGGCATAACTAGCGTAGTCGAAAACCGAGGAAAGGCACCATGACTTTAACCGGAATAGCTGTGCCGTGAGCCCTATTTATTTATTTTAAAATACAGCAGTTTTATACAGGGTTATTGCAAGAAGGGGGTACATTTACATGAACAAAGTATACTGATTACAAGCTTGAACAATCATAGCACAGAAAAAAACAGTGATTATTCATACCATTGCGTCTAAAAAATCCGACAATAAAAATTTACGAATTACACCTTTAAATTACTCTAGGAAAATAACTATTCTTAAAAACGCTGCTGTGCGTAAAGAAAGGCTTTATTGTCGGCTGTTGTTACATCGAGTTGAAAGAGTATTAGCATTTGAGATGTAAAAATGAAAGAGTATTAGCATTTGAGATCTGAGCATAGTCGACAAGATGAGTGAATAAACGAATGCAATAGCTTCAAGGAATCGGTATCTCGTCTGGTGGATAAGAGAGGGAGTTTCGAAAAATACATTGGTAATGAAAGTAAAAAATTACGATCGTAGCGATGAAAATTAAGCCAACCGCCTTCAATTGTACAAATTCAATTTTGTTGACATCACGTGTTTTATACGGGTTTCAGACACATGAAACATATTCTAGTATAGGGCGTATAAAGGTTTTGTAGAGCAGTAACTTAGTGCACTTCAAAGATTTAGATGACGTACAGCACAGGTAACCTAATTTATCAGTGCTTTGGAAGTGATGTAATCGATATGCAGCGACCGTTGCAAATTGTGTGACAAGATAATTGTTCAAGCTGTGCATGAGTTTTGGCATCGCCGGTTCATTAAAAACCTGCTGCCCTGGCTATGAGTCAAAACAACGCCTGTGTGACGATGGGCTGAACACCGTAGCCGCTATGCTGCAACACTATGTTTTGCAAGTTATCGTTTTTCGCTGTTGGAATCGTCAGGCAGTAGGAATCAAACGTTGAACCTAAAACATTGACAAAGTTTTGAATTGCTTGTTAGTTTGTGAAGCGGCCAAGAAATTACGAGACCAAAGGAAAAGAATCATAGCATGCGCGATATATGCACATGATTTATTGACTCCTATATCCTGTTTAGAAAATGCACTGCAACCACGCACATGAAGGTCAGTGTGATATTCAGTATGCTTCATTGAAAATCTAAGCACAGATTAAAGCATGGGGAAGAAATGGGAAGGACGCCCACAACTTATTTACCCTAAAAGCTTTATTGTAGAAGAAATAAAATATAGACTCAACTAGCACCCGTGTAACAAGCTTACATTCGTACAATTTCCAAGTGCCAGAAAGCCACTTTCAAACAACACAACTTTTTTTTTGTCCAGAAAGATGGAGAACACTTGGTATATTTTCGACATTGCCCCACTAGTCTAGTGTTAGTGACGCACAAGCGCTGATTAAAAGTCACAGAGTTGAACCTCGGCTGCGCTGGCTGCGCTTTCGTGAAATCGAAATTATTTGAGGCTCGCGTACCTAAATTTGGATTCGCGTTCTTGATTACTAGCTGGTCAAAATCGCCGGGGCCCTCCATTACACAGTTCCTCAAGGTTATATAGGGTTATAGGACGTTAGGTACCAGCTAGTAATGCACCAAAGTTATTATAATATTACCAATATAAATCGTAGTATTGGCTTTTAACGTGCAATTGACACGTTGTAATTCCCTTCTATGAATATGGAACGCTTCAGTATTTTGATTTTAAGCATGCGTGATACGCAAGGGGCTGCACTAATGTTTTCCTTCAGCTTACATTGATGCAGCGACTAGACTGACCACATGAACCTTGTTGGCTTTTGTAAAAAGTTTGTCGCACAATATGCGTATCTTGCTTTCATTTTGCAAGTTACTAAGTCAGCGAGGCTGAGTCAAAGATTGGAAATAAGAAGTTTTATTCCGATTTAGGAATTATAACACTACTTAGCTCCTGATTTTGCATCAAATCAGCCCTAAGGTTAAATTTTTTCTGCTCATGATATAAAAAAAATGCCAAATCATACAATCCTATATTCGCGCGTGCGATTGGAGAGATTCCTACAACTCTGCGTACAACTTGCATGATTTGGCCGGTGCTGTTCATGGTGGTGATCAGCCAGTGAAATGGTGATCGCCTGTGCAGCCGCTAACAACTGGTCTATCACCGTGAAGCCATCACTATCACTGCTAGCCTGTCGCCCTTAGGTCAATCATTTCAAGAGGAACAATAGGAAACACTACAACCACAATCAGACTACATTAATAAATTGAATTGAATTAAATTCAATTCAATTTTATTTACCACAAAACAATCTGGAGGGACACCTGGGCAAAAAGCTGTCACAGCAGCTTGACGAAGGCCAAGGGTCCCTTACATGGCAATAGCACATATATGGCACTTGTCAACAAGTGTTATTACATGGCATTCAAATCGAAATCATTCTATATACAGATCAGCACACATCACGCGTACACATAAAATGTAACAATCACACTTCGTACAAGAATGAAGGGAAATGCGCTATTATGAAGATAAAAAGTGCTCGCTCAGATTTTTTTTATTTCATGCAGTTGTGTGTTTGTACCGGTGGAGTATGGTTGGATTAATATGAGCTAGTGACAGCAGGCTGTAGTTGTTCCGAGACCAAGCACCTTCGATTGTTCAGGGTTGCGTGTGTGTTTGGTGTTGTTGTGCGGTGGTAACTTTGCGAGTGACGTAAAGTGACGTAAGGCTGCCGAATTCCACTGTCTTATCAGAATGTGTACCTTCTTTCTTGAAGGGCCTAAAGGAGGTCGTGTATAAAGACGTATAGTTTATATTTTCCTTATTCTGTGTCCCCAAGAGCAGAGTGCTTTGGCTATTTCTTGTCATTAATTGTCATGTATATTAGAAGTTGTACAGGGAGTACCTATTTTTCTGTATGTATATTGGTTTTTTTTCCACCACTGTTATAGCCCAAATAGGGCTGACAGTATAATAAATTGAAATAAATGAAATGAAGTAGTTTTTAACATTTTGGGGTGAGAAGAACAATTTTTCTGTTAAGGTACATTCATACAGCCTGTCAACGCGGTGTAATTTGTGTTTGAAAAATAGACCATGAGGGGCTGAAAGTCGATTAACATTTCATTGTAGCGGGGAATTTTCTTTTGAATTGTTACAATGTTGCATTTTGAAGTTTTTGCCTAGACAATGTAACAAAAGTAAACACACACACATACACACATACACACACACACACACGCACACATATATATATATATATATGAAGAGAGAGAGAGAGAGATAAGAGACAATAATGCGAAGGAAGGTATAGGGGAAGTTATTGGGCCAATTGTAATGCAAATGAGAAGAAAAAAGAAGTGGGTGAAAAGATAACTTGCGTGGGCAGGATCCAAACCTGCGACATTCGAATAACGGGTTCGATGCTCTACCACTGAGCTACCACGACAACTATCCCCTCAGCCACTTTATTGGGTATCTACGTCAATTTTAGCGATGGAGTGTCAGTCAGCGCCACTAGTAGCCATGGCGGCGAGTGTGGGACACTCTCTATGAGCCTGTTTGTCGTCATGTAGCACGTGAACCTATTACTAACTTGCAGCTGACCAATAGTCCCCCGTATGCAGCCTAAAGGCACCAAGTCTGCCAGTACGAGACCCTCGTAACGTATAAGGAACACAAGTGTATACGTAAGGGCTCGTTTTTTTTGTGTTTTACACAATATTGATTAGATCTAACAGACAATAATGCCAAGGAAGGTATAGGGGAAGTTATTAAGCCAATTGTAATGTAAATGAGAATAAAAAAAGTGGGTGAAAAGATAACTTGCCATGAGCAGGATATAAATAAATAAATAAATAAATATATATATATATATATATATATATATATATATATATATATATATATATATATATATATATATATATATATATATATGCTAGCGAAGACCTCGCGTTGAGGATTTGATGGCTATCCAGCCAGATGACCTTAAATAGTCGTTAAGGGTACCTTCATGGATGAAATTCACGTAGCCCATGCTTATGTTTTGTCACAGAGCCAAGGTGATGCGTGTAATATTTATGATGTATTAAATTTCCGTGCACAAGAAAACGCTTAAACCGTTAAGTACAGACGATTGGCAGTGTTACAAAAGCTCCACGACTATTTTGAAACACTTTGTTAAGAGTGCGCTAAGCACGTGAACACTCAACTTTATTGGGGAGCTTACGGAAACGCCCGAAACACCACTGAAAGGTTTGGTTGTTGCCACACAGAAAAAAACGCACTCTATTGATGATTATAAATGACCAACGCGCTGTTACTGCACTCATTGTAAAATTATGTATCCTTGTAGTATGACTTTAATTGAGCAAACTGACAGAGGTTTGACCAAAAAGAAAATTTCATCTCGAAAAAGGCGACTGCTTGCTTTTTAACGTCACAAACAAGTGACTATATCATGGTTTTGGCTCGTAAAATCTAGGGCAATACTCTTATCGCTTGATACACAGGCGTGGGCGAGTGTACCAGTTTGAACATAAGGCAAACAATGCATTCATCATTGCATTTCTGACTAATGGGTACACGTTTGTCCACCGTATTCTGCCTAAACAACAGACAAACACATTCAACACTGCCCTAATGTAGTGTCTGATCATCGCATCATTCAAAGAAAGGAATGTTTTCCTGGGGCGTTGGTTTCTTTGTTAAACGCAACGACAAGTACTATTAGAAACTACTTGATGAAGGGCACTCTAGGGGACCTCAATTTCTCTCCTTTACCGTAGTAACGGTATTATATTCTAAAAGTTTTTGATTTTTATTTCCTTCAGTTCGCTTCAATTAACATCATGATCGCTACACTACAGTTAAAGAAAGTGAATCTTCCTATCGTTTCTTGACTCCCTTTAGCGTTGATATTGGCAGTCTCGTGTATCCTACACATGACCACTGCTTAACTTTACCAGATTTTTCATCTGTCTGGAGCAATTGGAGCAGCTTCAATGTGAAATAAAAATCAATAAAATTATGTGGTCTAACCTTGATTCGTTTTTCCTGTGGGTGCACTCACTGAGTGCTTTTCAGTTGCGGATGACTTCATGGCTTCTTTTTTCACGTGCCGCCTTCCATTGTAGTCTATGATGGTGGCAGCTATAACAACCAGCGTCAGCAACACAATACATATGCTGTACGAAAAGAAATGAGACATTATTTTTTTTAATTCCCTGCACAATTCCTTAGCGGTACTGTTCCTGTCGAAATTGAGTCTCTACTGGCAGAGTACTGAAGTGCGTCTTGTCAAAAAGCAATAAATAAGAGAAACAAACGAATATTGTCAATATATGTTTACAAAAACGGCTACGTCATAAAAAATTTAGCTCACATCTGTTTTAAGTAGTTGACAAAATCTAATAAATTATGAACTAAACACAGCTTAACAGATTTACCGTGGCTCATAATCACTGTTAGCTGAAATCAAATATAAAGCTCTAAAGGTCCATTATTTGCACTGACCAAGGTTTCATTGGCGGCTATGTTTCACTAAAGTGGCTACTTTTTGACGCTTTTTGGCGACAATAAATGACGGTTGGTTCCGTCGCGACTCTTTAGCTATTCGAAAACATTTATTTGACCGATTAAGCAGCCATTTCTTTCGTTATTTGCAGATAAATTACAGCAACTTTATACTTTTCTTCAACCCACTTGTGCACTCGCCCTTCGTCCGCCAGCAGGCCAGGACTGGTGCAAATTACCAGCACCTCAAATTTTCCTGGAAACCTCAGTGGAGATAAGGAAAACTATTGAAGATATTATTACCAGATCTCGGTGCCATGTCCCACCTTTGAACATGCATTTACACATGGCTGGTCTGATGCTATCTCCACATTGTCGATTCTGAGAGGCATCAGAAGCTTTTGAATTTAATTTTTTTTCATGTCGTGATTATTCATCAATTAGATAAGCACTTCTAGTTATTTCGTTTGCGAAGCTAGGTTAAGATTTAACCGCAGAAATTGTTCTAAGTTATGGTGCATTCGTTATGCGACAATGCCACAGGCGTATTTGATGTGGTATGTAATTTCATTCAAGCCGCTCAATGCATTACAACATAATGTTCATTTCATAAATACGCGAAAACCTTTAAGGATCTGACGAAATAAAAGACATACATCTCAAATAATTAGTTTAAGTAAACTGAGCTGTCTGGTCGGCTTCCAAAAATCAGAATATTGTAATGTAATGGCGCTTATTCACTACACTTTGTTTCTTTCGCCTTACTGCAATTAAGTTTTGAAATGTTATCTTCCTTTCACGTTTTCTTTTTGTTTATAAGCAATGGTGCAGTTACCATCCAAAGGCCACAATATGTTTTCTAGGCCAATACCCCAAAGTGGGTTAGTGCCATTTTACCCAGGAGAAAAACGAACAAAGCCTGCTTTTTTCTCTTTGGGGAAACTGAAATGGCGTTTAGTCACAGCAACATTCGCGAAGCCGTATACGTTCTGCTAAGGAACAAAAAGCGTATATTATCTTGTTTGTTTATTGAAATTCTTATCCGTATTTCGCCAATGGCTTAATTTTAAAAGCGTCTATATCTAACCGTGTAACACTCGCACAACAATTTGATCTCCAAAATAAGGTACCATTCGTTTCATGTCAGATCCCTTGTTGCGGGTTGCGCCAGGTCATTAAGCAAGAACCAGCTATGTAACCCTGTCTGACTTGTGATCCTGCTATGACCTGTGCCAGTTACGTTGCTTGAGGTTTGACGTCGACGGGATATTACAAAACGCACAAAACGTGGATGGGATATAGCTCCAATATACGTCATGTTCTGCTGAAGGAGAATGGTCTGAAGGCATGGGATCTCGCCCACCATCTTTTGACGAAGCAGCGGAAAGATGTGCTACGTAACACATACGTTTAGATGCCTTAAACGAGGGACATAAAGTGTTGGATCCCTTCGCCCCGCTTTGCTAATTTACTAGTAGAGCGAGAACCTTGTATGGATATTATAAAGCATAATCCAAGCACGCCAGTCAAGAACTTAAGCTACGACGATATCGTGGAATATCTGAAATTCAACTCGCAAAGTAATGAAATTGCAGCCAGTTGCGCCTTTTTATGCGGAAGTAAAAGGAAAGAAAGATGGCTACCAGCGGGGGTCAGCTTCTCATTGTTGATACAAAAGGGGAGCCCAGTGACATGTTCATTAGGTACGACTTCGATAAGCGCAGAAAGCGTTGTAAGCAGCATTCGTGACTAAATCAGGGAGAGTGAAACGGACGTCGGCGCTGAAGGTTCACTGCCGCATTAACTACCAGCAGGTTAAACTCTGCGAGGAAATCGATAAAGGGTTAGGTACTGACCAGCCTTCAAGCGCCATGAAAGACCCGCTTCCACTGAGACGTTCAACTCGCAAGAAAATAGCACTGGACAGGTTTTAGAAGAAAGTGCAGTACCTCGCCAGGTACTTCAGAGGAAGGAAGTGCTGTATCGCGCTAGTTCCGGAACTGCGTCTTGGCGCATCTGCACGGTCCGTGATCACAGTTATTCGTAGACTGACGAAGACGGTAATCGGATCCTTTGGGGAAAAATTGTTTTTAACTGCAATAACTAATGAATTAAATTTCAACCCTCGTCCTCAAGAATGAATGAGTTTATTAAGCAAGACACCGTCTCGATTATGAATTATTCCCCAGATTGGTTTGCACCAAGATGTTGAGAAACCAGCAAGCCAACGTTTTCTTTTGCCTGTGGTTCTTCCCTTTGTCAGATGTAGGTTGGTTAAGCTGTGGCTATTTTCACTTGATTGCTGGATTCTTTTGAAGTCACTCAAAGAGCAACTCCAGTCACCACTTCCATTGTGATGCTTAAATGTGACCCGCTCATTGCTAATTTAGATAAATTGAAGTATGTGACCTATAAAATGAATTTCCACGAATATAATAGAAACATTTGATTACAATAAAAAAATGTGTTGCTAGGGTTACTCTTTCATTTCTGTCTACGGTTGAATATCAGGCTCTCACGCATATTTTCACACCTCTGAGTTTCAACTGAGTCACAGAGGCGCGTTAAAGTGCCAAAATACTCAATAAAATGTTGAATGCAAGAAAACTTACGTAGTCACTAGGGCCGGACTGTCAGCCATGAGCGTCATGCTTTCTCTTCGGCATCTCGTTGATGTTGCGCTTCCATTGCAGCCAAATCCACACATAGCTAACCAACGAAAGCTTGTTAGTTAAAAATAGAGCTTTCAAAGTGACAGCTGTTTTCTTTTCGAAATATTTTAATTTATTTCTGTCAGGCAGTTTTTTACTCGCAGAAGTACTTTTTCTGAGACACGAAAAAAACATATCAAGACTTAATTTGCTAATGGTGACCACATTGTAAAAGTCGGATGCTTATGATAGCAACAGGCGAAGATTCCGAATAAGCTGCCAGCCAAAAACGTTCGTAGTTACTTCAACTGCAATACGCATTTTGTTATAATGGCAGTCCCTACAAAGCACAGATGTAGTTTGGCGCGTGATCAGTAAACATATTAGAGTAAGGCTGGGAACAAAGAGTGCTTATATCACACAGTTAGCACATAAATCAATGAAAAAAATATTTTGCGAACAAAGCTATGATAACCTCTTACCAAAGGTAGCAATGGCACTAACATCTTCTTCAGTGCAAGTGGAAGGTACACAGACGCCAGTAGTGATACCTGAACCAGACAGCTTCTTGCAGATAGAACTTACTATGCCCTGAAATATACGTGAAAGACCTCGCTAAAAATATACCGAGAATTCTGCATGTTCCAATGATCGAATCAAGTAACGTGGAGGGAAACATTGTACCACTGTTCCATCATGTGGTAAGTTTTATTTATTCTAATAGTAAAAGCATCTTTACTGATTGTATATATTTCTCGGCTATGAAAATTAAACCACGTGCACTAGGGTACACGGATATGATAAATAGTATTTCACAAGTGAAATGTCTAGAATAAAAGATCACATTGACCGCTGACAAGGCGAGGTAAGCGCGACCCAGATATCCATATATACGTGTTCACAGGTCGACATGCAGCTAGTATATATCAAAAAAAGTTTGTCCCCTCGTCCCTTTAATTCATCTGAATGAAGGTGACATTTTGAATGCCAGCAAGAATGGTAGTGCTATTCTGTTTTAGCTGTAGTTTTAGCTGTTTAGCTGTTCTGTTTCAGCTGTTTTAGCTGTAAGACGAACCCAAATACATTTATTGTTTACAAACCTTTACCGACTCTGCGAACTAGTTATATACGTTTTATAGAATACACACCTGTTTTTCGGCTTTTTGCTCTGAGTGAAGACGCATGGTGGTTAAGCAGTAAGTGCTCATGAAAGCGGGGAGGTGTTGAGTATGGTCTTCTGAAGGTGAAAGTGCGGTGGCTTGCGGAAGTGCTTCTATGCACTCTGAATACAAACCTAAGAAAGTGCGTCCTCCCTTCATTATTCCACTCTCCATTTTGCCAGTGCTGTCAAACACTGGAATTGAGATGTTTTTTTGTACATACTGTTGAAAGTGAGATATTGCGGAGTAAAGTCAATTGGCAACAAAACAGGAGAAAACACCTATGCAAATGACACAAACGTAGACCTTGCTAAGTGCACGAGCTGAATAAGGCAGTAGCAACAAAAATAGTTTTGATATATCTTGTGCGTTTTTGACCGTGCTGCCACTTAACACGTAGAATTTAAGGAATATGAAAGCTTAACTTGAACATTTGCCGTTCACATATATGCGGCAATGAAGAATACATTCAAGTTATCTTTAGATTCGAAGTGCACTTGGTCACAAAAGATGGTACATTGTAAGTTTAATTTTAGAAGCCGTGCGCCTTGTACAGCCTTCCGAATAAACTCGAGTTTAAAAGCTCGAAGAGCTAATATTGCATTCTCATCGATTAGTAATAGCCTATTAGAGTGCGTAGGCCACTAGCTGCTCAAAGTCACAAGAAACTAAATTTTCTTAAGACGAAAACTTTAGCTACCACATCTAACGCGAGAAGTCGATGTCGCTTGCAGCATGTTCAGCAGAAGTGGTTCGTGAAGAAAAACCTTCAGTGACGAAGTCACCATAAGATGTCGTTATGACATCGCTATTACACTATTAATGTTACATGATAACGTCTCTTCATGAAACAGGACCGAACAACTGCGTTAGGGGCAGAAAGGTATCGGGGAGAGCCGTAAGAGTATTATATCGACTGAAAAGTAAAAAGGGTTTCACTGTCACTTGCATGTCATCTTATGGCAATAAATCAGTACCCTGTTTTTTTTTACCTCAAAATACTAGCAATGACTGATGCGGAGTCTCTGCTTTGCCCCGCTTGATAGAGGCGCTTGAATAATATCCCACGACTAAGCTGATCCAAATATTGCACCTGTGTCCGGTGATGCCTGATCCGAAAATTGTATAAGTATTTATTGTCGTCTATGAGCCAAATAAGTACCACGCAATAACTGCGGCAAAATACACAGGCCTTCAGTACTCGTGCCTTATTCAGAAAAATCTACGCTAGTTAACAACGATTCTATCTGTGTACAACAGCCTTCGGCTGGAACACGTTGCCCTCAATGATTGATTGAAAGCCTCACTGGCTTAACACATGTGCGTCGACTACAAGAACAAAATGTGAAAGTTGAAACCAGTTGTCTGGTTTTCGAAGTTGCTATTTAACCAATGAAATAATCAGTCTTGCATCAACATTGCCAGCGTCCATAATCACTGTGAACATCTGGAGAGGAAATGGGAGAATACAAGCGAAAAGAGAGACCTGAGCATCGTTGAGCTGTGCCGTCTGATGGACTTCTGCCCCAAAAGCAACGTATTTTTTATAAGCAGGTAAATTCTACAGAAAACAAAAAAAACAGCTGCAACAGTTGAACTGCCACGAGAGCCGCCGTTTCAGCCGCAGCGACAAACCTAATGAAGCACGTCGACACACAATTTTTTGGACACACTTGCCCCACCCCAAAAATATTTTTGAGATATATGAATGTCGTCTTTTGCATGATTAAAGAGTCTAACAACGACAGTTTGCTGGCACACCTAAATTCAAACGAGCCGGCTAATCCATTCACCGTGGATCAAGAAAAAAAAACAACGTTCTTTCTAATCTGGGTGTGCTCTTGAAATGCCAAGACGCAGAGGCGAAAGGCTGTTTGAGCTTGTTGATGTGCTGAAAACCTGCGCAAACGGCATGGTATCGGAAGCTCAGTTCTAACTATCCAACTTCTCACAAAATGTCAGAGTCAAGTTACTGCTGAATCACGCAGAGGCCATCTGCAGCTCATAAAAAATGTGAAGAAACAAAAAGGGACGATCACCAGCAGTCTTGTAGACAATGGGTACCTGAATAGACTTATTCGCTGTGTGCCCCAGCGACGTGATGGACAGTAACGCGCCTTCCACTTGCTTTCTTCTGCAATGGCGGTCACTAACGATGTAGCCTGTACGAAACATTCCTGCCGCATTTCGGTCCCATATGTTCCTGTAATCAGTGGGCAACTGCCAAGGAGTTGTGGGAGGAGGGAATCGAGGTGGCGCAGAAACCCGTTGCAACAATCGGGCTACTCTTGCCGCGACCCGAAAACGACCTGCCAAAAGAAAAATTTCCTAAGAGTTTTTATGCAGGACGGTGACACCACTTGCATCCATGGGACAAAAAACTTCCTTGGAAGGATACGGGAACATCCAAATGACGTGCGTAGGACTCGCTGGCTGAATGCCGGGCCGACCAGTTGTGCCCTCGTGATCTCCGATGTCAGCGTAGCTCTGGCTAACTGGGCTGGCCCTACCTCATCTCCTGACACCGATCTCCGACTACAGCGTAGCTCTTACCTACTGGACTTCCCATACGCACCCTTCGGACGCCGACAAGAGCTCTCTCAAGTGGTGGCCCGTCCTCGGACTCCTGTGAACGTGTTTCCATCTTTACTATCTCTCCTATCTTCTCGATATGTCCTCGCTCGCTGGCTTAGCGCATCTCTATTTCTCTCTATTTACACCTTTTCTCCTATCCTTTTAATCCTTCCTCACCCCCATCCCCTGTTAGCTACTGTTGAGGTGTCGCACCTTGAAGCAAACAGTTACGGGGCCCACATTTCTCTTCTTTTCCCTCTCTTAGAACCACTTCAGTTCAACGAGGTGCGTAGCTTCAACGCTGTACGAAACGCTCTCACAGAACACAGCGACAACATGAATAACCGCAGCGATTTAGATGACGCCCGGGACATCCAAATGGAAAGTACCCACAGAAAATTGCAGTTCTTAGAGCTTTGGCATATCTAAACATCTCCTCAAGTTATCAACCGCTCGACTAGAACCTTAACGACTGGATACGTGCATGGTTTGCAGAAGCATTGAAAAAAAATACCGCATAAACAAGAATGCCGGGAAGAGTGAAAACGGCGAGGAGGACACCAACAAATAAAATGTCGCTAGCTTCGGAGCCGGCCAAATGGTAGCCCTAAAAAAGGAACACAATCGGTCACGAAAGTTGGGACAATTTATAGTTCTTTTTAAAAGAAACGACTATATATTAACATTATTATTAAATTTATTTTATTTGTGATAAAACATTTATGGTATTGCCATGAACAATTATTGATGGCATTCACTTTTTGAGCCCTGGCATAGCTTGTCACTAGGTCTATTCCATTTGAACACCATAGAATATACCTATTGTTATCTTGACAATTCCTATTGCTGGACACACCTTCGCTTCGATAAGTAACTCAACCATTAGAGATTTCACTGCGCAGCTAATAATAGTCACGGGGAGATAAAGAACTATAACACTCACTGTGGTACGCTGAAAGAGGAACAGCGTTTTCGGTAATTTTATTTTGAATGTGCAGATTATGTTGGCGTGCCCCAGTAATTTTAACGCAACGGCAACAAATGTGCATGACCAGTGTTGAACCGCGAACATTAAGAACTGGATAAAACATGTTCAACCACAAATTGCTGCACAAGCCCATTGTACAGTGTTTTTAACAGGAAGTCTCTTACTGAGCAAACGGTGTGAAAGCGCGCGCGAGTCTGAAATCAGCGTTCAGCCATTTACAAAACATCTGTACATGAAGCTTGTTAGCGGACGCTGAGTTCACTGGCCCATAAATCAAGACATGCGAATACACTTTGATTGTGACTACACATATGATTCCATTTAGCAAGATCATTACAATATTGCGGTGAGCAAGATATTATTTATCATGGTGCAAATGAGTCAACTCTAAACTGAGCTAGGATTTAGCAACATTTGTATTACCAACTAAGCTCGATGAACAATAATTAGCAAGAATGTAATCAAAGGGGGAAGAGGGTAAAAAGAGTGCGGATCACAATTCAAGATTTGGTAGTGATATACACTTGTTCATCAAATTCTGAAAAAAAAATCTATTTTTCTGAAAAGGCGAAGCAGTTGAAGTGACTGCCAATAGTATTGATCTTGACATTAAGATCCTCACGAGGTCTTAAAGGCAAATATTCTTTGTCTTGGTATTGATAACCGCACAATATATTAGCACTATCAATGCCTCACTGTAAGAAACAGCCTCGGAGCCTTCAATTGTGTAAAATGAGCTAATTTAGTTAGGCCACGACGACAACGCTTCTGAAATATTTGGCACAGTTTTAACAACATATATCTAGCCTTGTCGAACAAAAAGTTTTGTCTGTTTCCATTATGGTAGTAAACTTATTGTATAACGCGATGCAGTGAAATAGGTCTACCTGGTAAGTGATGAAAGCCTATGCTAATCACAAAAACACAATATCAATAAGTTACTAAATCATGCAAATATTACCTTCATAGGGGCCAGTTCAACGCGCAAAGGGAAGAGCTGTAGATGAATTCGGTTACATTCAGATATAACAAATGCTGTTCAAACGATGTGCCAGCGGAAACAAAAAAAAGAGGTTAACCCTGTGCAGGCTTCGGTGCTGTCACGGTGTCAAGTTTTTATATATATATATACTTGTTTTTTGGCGCTCATTACCCGGCCGCACAAGTTTGCGGCAGCTGCGTTTCCTTTATGATTGATGCTGACAGGATATCGCAGAAAGCCCCAGAATGTATGACATTGTTATTGTTATATTGGGGTATTGCTTTACAAAGCATCACCGCAATTACAATATGTTTCCATCTGCGCAAATAAATTGCGGTTCATCATCCTGAAACAATCAAACAATATGTATATATGTAAAAGAGCATGCTTCTAAGTATCTACTTTTTACATTCAAACTACGCATGGAATGTTACCGATAAGCTTTGGAAGCAAGCCAGTTTATCTGAAACAAAATAAATGATTCCTTGCAACATCACTCTTATAAACTGCGCAACTAGAAATGGTGCATTTTCCCCTTCATTAGATATATCAGCATTGTTCCTTTTCTGCTGCTAGCAGCGTCGAACGCATATCAGAAAAACAATAAATAATAGGACGCTCCCGAGTCGCTTCAGGATT